CATCTAGGTCTAATGTGGCCAGGCAAATTACAATAGTGACAGATAGGAACGAACCTGTCTGTTGCTTGTCTTGTTACAACAGGCTTTGCAACAAACTTCTTGTCTAATCTTACCTGAGATTTCTCAAAGGATTGCATCATAGTACTGGTGGCTCGTTTCATAAAGACAATCTTCCTAGGAATTTCTTGACCTTTGTAGCCAAGGCCTGAATGATCACCACAAGTTTTTTGTTGTGAGAGTAAGTGATCCAATTTTGATGTGCCCGAGTTTAGCATCCTTAAATTCTTCTGGGTCTGCTCCAATTCGAGTCTGGTCTCAGCAAGCTTTCTCTGATGCTTTATTGCCAAGATTTCATAATTTGTTGCAGCCTTCTTCAACTCATCTCTTTCCTTTGTTAAGACACCAACTTCATCTTTAAGCGATTTATTTCGTTTGCAAACAACAAGCAATTTGTTGTACATCTTCTTATAAGCCTCCTGAATCTTCTCAAGACTTAGAATAAAATTAATACAATAAATGGAATTAATTTAAAAGACAAAAATACAATAAATAATCAAATTTAATTAAACAAAAATACACTAAAATAAAATTAAATCACGTCAAATTAAATAAAAAAATTTAACAAAACAATTAAAATGGAATTAATTTAAAAGACAATGAAATCATTAACAAAAAAAGGTCCATACCAAATAGAATTTCAGTATTAAAGCTTCACCACGTATGTTGCTCTGTGAGATTTTTGGGTCAGACCAAATAGAATTTGAATCACTATACTGATGTGTTTCTTTTTAAAAAAAAAAGAACAATTGCATAATTTTTTAGTTGTAATTGTTTATTATATCTGTTACTTGATTTGTGGTTTGATTTTATCCATTTTAACACTGTTTTGCATTAAAATTTCGATATTACTCAGATATAAATAATTCAAATACAAAATTAAATTGAATAAAAATACACTGAAACAAAATAATATTACACAAAATTAAATAAAAACAAACTAAACAAGACAAAATAACGTTAATTTAAAAGACAACAAAATAAATTAAAATAATTTGTTTAACCATAATTTTAAATGAATTCCTCGCACATCACACGCTAAAAATTAGCTTCTATAAAAAAAAAAAAGATGAAAAATAGTTGCCTTCCTTTTGAACTTATTTGGCAAAGCTTCATAATTATCTATTATCAAATTAAAAAGGTTCGAACCACAATAGTTTGAGCCTGCCAACCATTAAATGAGGCTCTAGTTTGATACATTATGGTTTGCACATTTAAATTAGTAATTTTGATTATGAATTCAAACTTTATAAAAGAACCATTAGTAAAAATTTTTTTAATTTAAATTTTTTTTGAGAGAGCATAATAAAAATCATGAGTTTAAATCATAAAATTAAACAGGTCCTAAAACATTTTAGGGTGATTATCTGATTGGTTTATGTATGTTCTAATTATTATGTAGTTCTTATATGTACCGGTTTCCAACCCATTATGCGCACACTTGGTATCTAGTGCATGCCATTTGTGCTCATTTGTTATGCTTGCACCACTTGGTAGATTGATACTGTGTTTACATGTTTTCTTTTCTTTAAAATTAGTATGGTACAGTTTTAAGAAACTTTAAAAAAGATTGGATTATTCTTATTTATGCCTTCTAAATTTTGGGTCACCTCTATTTTGCACATTAAACTTTAAAAATCCTCACTTTATTATTTTACACTTTCACGAACTTGCACTTTACCCCTTCCGTCCAAATTTCCATTTAAATGAGATAGAAAACGTCTCATGTGCACTCATATGTATGGTGTTTGAGAGTAAAATCATAATTTATTTTTTGATGATTTGCACCTATGCTCCTTGAACTTTGGAGTCATCTCCACTTTGTCTCCTGAACTTTGAGATCACCTCCACTTTGCCTCCCCTGAACTTTTTTATTGTTCCCTCCATACTACTTCAAACTTTGAATATCTCTTATTTTGAAAAGTGTAGTATTAAATGACGAAATATTTTGCAAAATTTTTTTGGAGATATTAGCAAAATGTCGATAAAGTGCTTTAGGATGAATTTGTATATTTTAGGTTAATTTTTACCGATATCAACATTTTCATAAAATTTAAGTACTGTTATGTCTTACAACGAATCAAATCAATAAAATTAATTCAAATAGAAAAACAAAAATGATAAAATACATCAAACAGTGTTTAGAAAATCAAAGAAACTAAGAAAAAGCATATTGAGTGATTGGATTACTATGAGGATAGTGATCAAGCACCAATCACATGAGTACATGTGAGATGCTTTGCGTATGTTTTGAACAGAAATTGAGAAGAAAGGGACAAAGTGAAAATTTATAAAGGTTTAAAGTAGTAAAGTGAAAATTTTTAAAATTCTAAAAGTAAAGTAGGGGTAACGCCCAAATTTAAGGGGTATAGGTGATAATAATCTAAAAGGATTTTATAATAAATTATGAATTATGCGGTTGTGTTGAAGGTTTCAAAAAAAAAAAAAAGAGTTTGTAATATTGCCGCTCTCTTAATTGGTCCTAGGGGGCCGGAAATCCTTGGCCACTCTGGGCTGGGCATCAGATTTTTGGGACGAAATTACAGAATTTAATCTTAAGGGTGGTGTATGAGTTTAAATTTGTAACTCCTATTTTTAAGTAATGCTGTTTTATTAGTATAATTATTTAACTAAAAAATATATTAATTAATAATAAGGAATAGAAATATTAATTCATGCATTTTTAAGAAGTATTTATTTATTTTTTTTCTGATTTCTAGCAGCAGTGGGATCTTGATCTGGTCCATGGGCTTCCTCTTGACGGTGGTACAGGCGGATGTCGCCGTTGGGGTTGGAATTCGTTGCTTGCAGGGAAGCGGGTGGGAGCAGTTTTGGCCATCAGCTAAAACTAAATTGACTTAGAAATAATGAAATAACATTTAACAATTATTTAATTAACACGAAATTAATGAATAAGGAAGTAATTATTAACTGAATAATTAAACAATTAATCAAGAAACTAAAAAATTAATTATTTGTCAGCTAACTTATTATTGATTTAAAGCTAATTAATTAATTATTAATTTGAGTAATTAATCATTAAATTGGAGATTTATTAGTGATTAATTAGATATTAATTAATTATTATTAGATTTTCAATGCATGATTAATTAGAGACTAAATTCATAGTAGATAAGAAATTAATATTAAACAAGGGAGAATTGAGAAGAACCAGTTACGTGTATGTAATTACTAAGCCAATTGAGTCAGATTTAATGGAAGAAAACCTCTTATATCTAAATACAAAATGGTGAGTCAAAACAAGTATAACCTAATATATGATTTTTATATAAGACGAGAACTAATATTAGATATCCTAATCAATAATAGATGAGAGAATAAAATCGTAACGCAATAACATCACTTAGAGACGAAGTAAATAACTCACTCTGTCCAATGGAGTGTTATCAATTAGGGCTATCTCCCACTTCACTAGGCGTGAATCATAGGATATATATATATATATATATATATATATATATAGTTTATTGCCATTATTTGTAAATGGTTAATAATTATAGAAAATAGTTGAGTAAAATTTTGTGTTGTGCGTTTATTGAAAAATTTGTATGTTTCAATCGGATAAAGTTTTTAGAAAAAGTGATGTCCGTTACAAAGATATAAAATGGGTAGAACTAAAATAATAATTTCTTAATTGAGCAAAAAAATAATAATTTCTTATAAGAATAAATTATATGGGCAGAATCAAAATATATATTATTATTAAGAATATTTCAGTCAATTTTAATAATAATTGTGTGCAAATGCATCCCTTGACCTTAGAATATGTTGGACACAATCATCCAAACACACTAGTGCTGTGGTTCTTTGGGCCTTTGCATAGATTTAAAGGGAAATAGTAAAAAATAGGCCAATATGAAAGCTTAAGAAAGTATATAGGCTAATTTTTTAGTTATAGAAATTAATAGGTCATAATTTATCAAGTTATGATTCATAATCAGATAAGTTATGAACACATTTGTTAAGTTATGATTCATAGCCAGACAAATTATGGACAATAATTTATCAAGTCCCCTCCTCTCGGGGTGAGTATCATAATATATATATATATATATATATATATATATATATAGTTTATTGCCATTATTTGTAAATGGTTAATAATTATAGAAAATAGTTGAGTAAAATTTTGTGTTGTGCGTTTATTGAAAAATTTGTATGTTTCAATCGGATAAAGTTTTTAGAAAAAGTGATGTCCGTTACAAAGATATAAAATGGGTAGAACTAAAATAATAATTTCTTAATTGAGCAAAAAAATAATAATTTCTTATAAGAATAAATTATATGGGCAGAATCAAAATATATATTATTATTAAGAATATTTCAGTCAATTTTAATAATAATTGTGTGCAAATGCATCCCTTGACCTTAGAATATGTTGGACACAATCATCCAAACACACTAGTGCTGTGGTTCTTTGGGCCTTTGCATAGATTTAAAGGGAAATAGTAAAAAATAGGCCAATATGAAAGCTTAAGAAAGTATATAGGCTAATTTTTTAGTTATAGAAATTAATAGGTCATAATTTATCAAGTTATGATTCATAATCAGATAAGTTATGAACACATTTGTTAAGTTATGATTCATAGCCAGACAAATTATGGACAATAATTTATCAAGTTATAGTTCATAACTAGATAAATTATAGACGAAAATAATAATTTGACCTATTTATTAACTTATGTAAACTATTAACCTATTAATTTTAATTCATCTCAAGTCTTGACCTATTTTTCTCTTTCTCCCAGAATTAAACTAAAAAGTTGTGGTCCAAACAATTTTGGTTACGTCATTTTCTCTCACAAAAATTTAGACAAATTCAATTTTGTGTTTAAATTAATGAACACAAAGGAGCCATTAGAATATGGCTAACAAAACCAATATAAAAAACGTAATGCTTGACAAGTAAAGGGAAAAAATTGTTACCAAGGGTGCAATAATTAACGCCTCCGAGACAAGGATTTAGCACGACTAAATTCGGAGCTAAAAGTGATGATTCAATTTAAGCAACTTCCATGCACTTTTAATGAGCTATATCTAAATGTTTTAACATGTAATTTTTATCACGTCTACATGTATGAAATGAAATACCTTTTGAAACGAATTCATTCAGGAAAAAAAAAATGTTGTATCGACATGCTGACTGCAAAGGAGTGATAATAATATTTATGATCAGTTCTTGCGAGCCAAAGCAGCAGCAATTCCACCGGCTATAAGTCCAACTGCAGTGGCGGCAATGCCTATTCCAATAACACCATCTGTGTCCCCGAAAAAAAAAACAAACAAATAAATAATTAATTAAAATAACGTGTTTGCATTTTTTTTCAGCTAAATGACATAATTTCGTAACAAAGGTGAGAAATTCGAGTTATTACCTTTAGCAATTCGGTCCTCAACTGTCTTCTTAAGGGCCAGAGCCTGCCTCCAATCGGGGGCAATCTACAAGAATTTAAAAGAAATGAGTTACGCAGAAACGAACGGAGCACATACAATGATAATCCCCATGAAAATGAATATTAAAAGTGGTGGCAAAATTGAATAACAAAGGGCGTAGTTAATTTCGTTTCCGTGAGTAGGACGTGAAGAAAGAACAGACGGTCTGCAGTGTCAAATTGGATGGATGAATCAATCAAGGTGACACAGATTTACAGTTTCATACGGCGGTGTATAAATGATCACTTACATGTACTCTCTACCAAAGAATAGCTGATTCCATAACCTTGGAAAATTGCATTTGTAATAACAATAACAATGAAGTAACTATTTGCTTTTACCAAGCCAGAAACTGCGAGCCCAAATACTACTAAAAATTTAATGTAAAGAAAAGGGGAGAAAAGAACAATGCCACCAGAAACAGGTTTTCTGGCAAATTAGTTACAACAAAAAACAAGAACAAACCTCCAAGCACTGCTCCAGGAGCTGTCGACTCTTTGAGTATTCACTGGTTCGGTAATATCCAACAGCCAGAAGGTAAAACTTCTCTCTCTGTTCCAAAGGCGAGCTACTGTTTGTCAAGGAAGCTGCGGATACTAATATTATTTCAGACTTTTACTCAATTATAATCAAAAAGGAAAGATGGACTCCTGAAAAAGGAAATAGACTCCTTCAACCTCCAAAATCTAAGGACCACCAGAGTCGATCAGAGAGATCAATGCATAATTCAAAAAAATGGTACGAGGTAATTACCTTATTCATTTTGGCAAAAGAAGGAAAACCAATTTTGTTTTGTTTTTGCTTTTGTTTTTGTTTTTTTTCTTTTTAAGAAAAAGGGAAAAAATATACACATGGATTAATTTCAAAAATTCCTTCCAAACTATGACTCTTGTAACACTTTGCCCCTTAAATTTTAAAAAGTAATATCTGCCCCCCCCCCCGAACTTTGTTCCGTTAACAATTTTTCCCCTTCTGTTACAATAAGTGACGGAATTCGCCACGTGTCAGGCACATGACCAGTCTGGGGAGGATAATTCTGGACTAATTCTGAAACCATATCTCTTGCACTGAAATCTAATTCTGGAACCAGATCTCTTGCACAGAAATTTTCTCTAAAATCAAGCCACTTTCACAAAATTAAAACTGTTTTGAAACCAACAATGAAATTAATCTACCAATGAAGAACAATAGAGAAAAAAAAATCTAAAATACAAATATTAAAAAGCCAATTGCATATAATAAGCGAAAATAACAACCACAAAGAAAGAGAAATGACTCAAAAATTGAAACCCGGAAACATCAAATAAGAAAAAAGGGGTAAACCGGGAGGAATTGGATAACGGAATCCCTAACTGATGAAGATTAGAACAAAAGTATTGCAGGGTGGAGAAGAAAATTGTGGCTCAAAGTTTGCCCTAGAATTTTACGAGAGAACAAGAGGAGGAGGAGAAGAAGAAGAAGGAGCCTCGTGTTATCCAATTGGCTTAGAGAGAGAAAGAAGAGAGAGAGAGACTCACACACATACCATAGAAATTAGAAATTGGAAAAAATAGATGTTAGAAAGAAAGTCAGAGAGAGATAGAAGAGAGAGAGAGGGGGAGAGAGGGTTTTCTTTGTTTTTTCTTATTATTTTTTACATTTTCAGAGGGTATAAGCATAATTGCACTTTTAATTCTCACTAAATAAGTGACACGTACAATTTCTGTCACTCATTGTAACAGAAGGGGAAAAATTGTTAACGGAACAAAGTTCGGGGGGAAGGATGTTACTTTTTAAAATTCGGGGGGCAAAATGTTACAAGGGTCATAGTTTGGGGGGAATTGTTGAAATTAATCCTATACATATATATAGAGAGAGTGCGCGAACAAAAAAAAAAAAAAAAAGAATATCTGGTGCAGAAGAAAGCATTGATAGAAAAACCAATGAAATCTGATTCATGTCAGATTCCAATGTTTGTCCTCTGTTTTGGACTATAAAAACATGAATATAAACACAAGGGGGAGCAACTAAGAAAGTAGGGACACAACACAGGAAAAATAATAACAACAGTGAAGACCTTGTAGGCCACGGATGGAGCTCAAAAAGTAAAAATTGTATCAACGTCGATAGCAGTCATTGTAACACTGGTAACTGGGAAGCTATATTACTTTTCCTTCCATAGAAAACACCAGGAACGTAAATCTTTAATCAAGATTTAATCAATTTATTTTACCTTCAAGCATGGCTACCCCGCGCCTCACATCTTCAGGTTGCCTCGAGTGAACAAGTGCCCATGACAACCTCATAATGCTTTCATTCTTACGTTCATCTGAGCCTCCATTAGTGGCATCAGCAACTTCTCTCTCACAGCCCTGTGCCAATAAGCAAATACAGTGTAAACAAAAAGAAACTTGAAAAAGATGATGGATACCAGATCGTCAAGCATAGCTACCACAGGAGGTAACATCAACGAAAGCATATGGTTGGATTCGACATAACTAGAAAGTAAGAGCAGACATAAACATTGAAGTCTCATTCTGCTAGTCCCAGCTAGATTTGTGTATACTAGAGAGGGTCAAAAAGGAAATAAGGGAAGTATTGGAGAGGGCCGTGTGGAATTTGGGAATTAAGTCAGTAACTGAGGTGGCTAGTTTTTTAGGAGGTTGGTTACAAGATAATGATCTGAAAGGCAACAGTGGAGTATTGTTCTGTTTTTGGTCATTTTGGTAGTTTTCACACTGTGCCTTTGGAGCTGAGGAGTCCTCAAAACCTACTAGTGTTTACTTTCCAGTTTAATGCTCATCTTCATTTTTCTCTCATCTTCTAAAAATGGAGACCACTGTTGATAAATAAAAGGAGTTCGACCCTTTCCATGAGCTAATTTCTCCTGATTTTGTTAAATAGTGTGTGTGTGTGGTGTGAACTATTAGTGCGCTGGTGTCCTAACACGTTCCATCATACATATTACCTATATTTATAATAATCACAAGAGAGGTTGGACTCATGGTGCTAAAGCAGTACCCACCTTTAAAAGACAAGCAAATACATATACATGATACACAAGATACACGTAAATCGATATCTATTTGGGTGTATATCAGTACACATTGTGGCGTTGAAAGAATCCACATCTAATAGCAGAGAAAGAGAACAAAAAAAAAAAAATACAAAATCCACCGTTAGGTAGTACTACTACTTCGCCACTTCTATTACTTACGAGTGTAGATTTAGTATGCATTAACCAAATAAAGTGACGATATAGTGCAAGACTACCTCTAGTATAAAGCTTTTAAGTCTTCCTGAGAATCCAAAACCATTTTTAACCAAACATATAACATTAGCCCTCAGACAAAAGATTAAGGGCTTTGGTTCATGGGTTTCAATCTAGGCGGTTTGAACCAGAATTCAAAGTTTTAAATTTTTGTGAGAGAAAACACTATAACTGAACTTTTTAAATTCAAATTTTGTTAGAAAAAACAGTGTCACAGAACTTTGAACTGAGGTTCAATCTCCTCTACCAAACAAGCCTTAAAATTTACTCCAATACTTATCCTACCACCTAAGTGGTTTCCAAATTCAGAAACATCATCACAAATTTAATCTAATTATCAAAAGGAGAGAAATTGCTTAACGCTCTGCCTCTAGTGAATTGAATAAGAACCTAAAAAACTACTTATCCAATCCCAGCAAAGCTCTTAAGCATACAGATTTTCCAGCTAAAACCAAAAATTTTGCGCAACACCCAATTCTGTATACATCTAAATTCAAATACCAAATTACACAAAATGATCAACTTCCACAGGTGGTACGAATCAAAGTTAGAACCATCACACAAAACTCGTGGAACAAAATAAAAAAGACGGAAAACGCATTCAGTTTTGCGAAAGAGTAAACTAAATAATACTAAAAAATGAAAGGAAAAAAAAAAAAAACAAACCCAAGAAAAATGGAAAAACTCAAGGAAAGTATTTCTTTCTACAGAGGCTCGGTAAAATAAGGCACTAGAATAATAAGCCCCGTAGTTTCGCCCTAGAAATCCAGATAAAATGGCGAGAGAAGAGAACAGAGACCAAATTCACAAATCTTATTGTCTCCACACCGTCAAAATTCGAAGCAAATGAAACCATTTCCCCTCAGTTCAGCGTCAAGGTTTTCTCCGATTTTCTGTCTCTCTCTTTTGGACTTTCTCGGGAAACAAACAGTAAACGAAGTTTTGATGTGGATGGGAAAGGAATAGAGAGTAAGAGAAAGATCATACGTACGAGAATGACGTCGCGATCGCACCAAGGAATCTGATCTCCGCCGCCGAAGAAGGAGCCGACGGATTCGAAGAACTTGCCGATCTTTGCTTCCATTCGCTGTTCAATCACTTCTCTACTCTGAACCAATTTCTAAAAGAGATACCAGATGTGTAAAAATTAACTTAAAAGTAATATAATACTCTCTGTAAATACTCCGTATTATATTATTTAATAATATAATGTTTAGTGATATTTATATATTGTATAATTTAATGAGAGACTTAAAAGTAATATAATAAAAAGTGTGATATTTAATAAATTTTTTTTATTATTTATTTGATCGTATTATATAATTTAATTTAAAATATCATATTAAAAATATATAAAATATTTTACAAATATTAAGTTTTGAGATTGGATTTGGGATAGATATTATGGTGTAGTTTTAAGATTGGAGTATTATGTAATTTAATTTAAAATATCATATTAAAAATATATAAAATATTTTACAAATATTAAGTTTTGAGATTGGATTTGGGATAGATATTATGGTGTAGTTTTAAGATTGGAGTGATGTTGAGTTTATATTTTAAAATTATATTTTAATCCTTAAACTTTTTAAAATTATGTTTTCACCTTTCATCTTTTTTAATTTATATTTTGACCCCTAAAATTTTTTAAAATTATATTTTCACCCTTCAAATTTTAAAAATTACAATTTGATCTCATTTTTCAAATTTTTTTGTAAAATGACCCTTATGTAGCAATTCTACTTTCTCCCTTGCTTCCTCTAAATGTTGGGTTTGGGTTGAGATTAGAGTCGAATTAGCAATTAGGTTATGATTAGGCCTAAATTTTACCTTATTACAAATTAATACGTAAATAGATTACAATGGTAAAAATAGTATAATGTTTAATAATATCACCAACCAAACACCGCATTGTATAAAAATTATACAATGCAATATAATACTATATGATAGAATATGATACAATATATTACGGTGCACCAAATATGGCATTATGACTCAAACTTATATATATACTAGTTGAACACACGTGTGCATAGGCCCTTTCTTTTCAAAATTCAAATTACAACTCAAATTTTTTACTAGAGTATTTTTCCTCACGAAAATTTAAATTCAACTTTTTTGTTACAGTGTTTCCTCTCATGTAATTCACTTTTCAACTTAAGATCTCAACTCAAACCTGTGAAAAAAACAGAACCTTATTTTGTTGAATTTTGTATAAAATTTTTTGAAGATTTTTTTTTTGTTGAGAAATAAATTTTAGATATTATTATGTTAAGACTTTAATGAATCATGTGCCTAATTCATATAAGTTATTTTTGTCTAAAATTAGGAAACTTTTATGGTAAAAACTGCTATTTTATCTTACGGTAGAGACTGTTATTTTAACTGTTGAATTAACTTTTTAATGATATTAGCTGTGAGTAAAAGTAGTTTTATGACGCGTTCTTTAAACTTTTAATGTGAAAACTAACAGATTAGATTATTGAAATACTACTTTCTCTCATTTAAAATATGCATGAAACTTTCATCTCATACGTCTTCTAAGTGTTAAGAAAGAAGAACTCTTCTTCTTCTTCTTTACTTGTTTTTTTTTTTTTTTTTTTTTATTACCTACCTTATGCATATATAAGACTGAATCCATTTAATTTTTAAAAAGGATTACTAATTCGAAAAAATCGAGGAATTGTTGCAACAATTTCTACTTGTTCCTAGTGTAAGTATTCCCTTAAAATTAACCATTAAAAAAAGTTTTTGTAAGATTATACATATTTCTAATAATTTTTATAAAAGTTAATGATCCAAATGTTTGTTTTTGTACAATGTAATACATGTATAGATAAGAAGATCATATTTAAAGAAAAAAGGTTTTGATTTTGATTAGATAATCAAAAGTATATATGAGAACGGAAAAGATGCTTAAATACGTGCACATTTAAAAAATAATCTTATTTTGGCAATTAGGGAAAAAACCATGAATGTAAGTGAAATTGAAAACAAAGTAGGAGTACATAAAAAAAGAAGAAACATTTTAGAAAAAGCATAGATTTGAAAAAAATATTTTAGTGGAATAATTAGCAAAAAAAAAAAAGAGTAAAAGCCATGTGTTACAAAATAACAAGGATTATAATTAAAGATTATTTAAAATTGGACATATTAAAAAAATATATTTCGATATAAACTTAATAAAGAAACTTACTTAAATAAATACATAAAGTTTTGGGGAAGAGGGAAAACTATAAGTAATATAAAATTGTGACGAGTGTGAAAGACATGCTAGACTTGACTTGTACAAGGAAAAAAAAAGGCAAACAAAGGCGCAAAAAGGTAAAATAGAGGGACCAAATTTTTGAATAATAACTAGAGAGGAACTCTCTTATATATATATATATATAGTCAGCCGCGCATGACTCATTTAAAACATGGGTTATACAAATCGTCGGGAAAAAAATAGGAAAAATAAAAGGATAAAAGAAATAAAGACAAAAGCGGAAAAAAAAGATATGAAGGAAAAGATAAGGGAAAAGGACAAAAAAATTAAGAAAAAAACTTGGGTAAATGTTTCACAACTGAAGTTGTAATTTATGAGGATCACAAGTAAAAGATGTTTATGTAGAGGTACATTTAGAAAAAATAATTTAGTAGAGTAATTAGAAAAAAAAGTAATATTTTAAAGAATCGTAAGAAAAGGTTTTATAAGGGATATATTTGAAAATACATAAAAAATTAAAGGTTAAAAGATGCAATAAAGAATATGGGAGGAAAAAGAAGGAAAAAAAAAAAGAAAAACTAAAAAAGAATAGTGATTATAATTAAAGATTATTTAGAGGTGACATATTTAGGAAAAATAAGGGAGCTTCTACTATGAGACCCTTTAAAAAATTCACCGTGGAACACTCTATATTTACCGTTCGATTAAATTTTTAACTGTGAGAACTGTGCAAATCCGTATTAAAAATTTATAGTGCGCACAGAGAATTGCTCCATTTACAGATCTGACCATTAAAAAGGTAATCCAACAGTTAAAACATTCCACCGATGGGTTTTTTTAAGAGGTCTCATCGTAAAGAAAGCCAAAATATAAATTATATTGGTATTAACATATTAAAAGAAACTTACTTTAATAAAGACACAAAGTTTTAAGGAAGAGGGAAAAATATAAGTAGGCAATCTCTACGGTGGAAAATTTTAAAAAAACCACCGGTGGAACATAAATTTTAACTATTAGATTAATTTCTCAACGGTTAGAATTATGCAGGTTCATATTAAAAATTTATAGTGGCCACACAGAACTACTCTTGTTGGAGATCTGACCATTGAAAAATTAACCTAACGGTAAAAAACAGTGCCCACCAGTAATTTATTTTTTATTTTTTTAATTTTTTTTAATTTTTTTAAGGTCTCAGGATAAAAAATGACAAGTATATAAGTAATATAAAATTATAAAAATTGTGAAAGACATCCTAGAGTTGACTTGGACAAGAAAAAAAAAAGGCACAAAAACACAAAATAGAGAGAACAAATTTTTGAATAGTAATTGTAGGGGAACTCTCATGTAAAAGACTAGTTTGAACTGCGCACGTCCATATGTGAGGTTTTTAAGTAAAAATGAAAAATATGTCATTGTTTGGTTCATTGGTTTGAATTTTGATGATTTAAAATTTTTGATTTGAATTGAAAAATTTTACTTTAAATTATAGTTTGAATTGGAGTTTGAATGACACAATTAAAATTTTAAATTGAACAGGAAAAAATTTTGACTTTGTATTTGGTAGGTGTGAAAAGCAGAGATAGTGAACACATTTTTACTATTCAAAAGTGGCTTGATCTGTAAAACTTAATAGGGAAGTTAAATTCTAAGTTGGACAGTTCAAGTTAATTTAAACACGAAATATAATTCGGATTCCGTGCTTACCAAACAAGAGTTCAAACTGTATTCACTTTTCAAAATGAGTTGAATTGAGTTAAACTAGTAAAACAAACAAGGATTATATATATTTATTAAGGTTTTATTTGGAGAAATAAAAAGAAAGAAGAATATACTATAGGGTAAAAAATATAAGAATGAAAAAAAGGAGAAGTTAAAAAAAAAAGAAAGAGAGAGGGAGAAGAAGGAAAGTAAAAAAAAAAAAAAAAAAAAAATGGCCCCGTTCATTTCACCGATTCGAGTTTAGAATTCGAGTTTTGCTACAGTAAAAAGTTTTCAGAAACAGTCACATCTAACTTTTTTGTTACAGTAAAAAGCTCTCACATAAAGTCACATCTCAACTCGAATTAAAAACTCGAATCAGCGAAGGTTCTTAGGTAAGAAAAACTGATTTACTTTAAGTAAATGATTTACTTAGGTAAGTAAATGTCTGGGGAAGAGGATTTAAAAGAATTTAGATATGGATATGTATGAGAATAAATTATTTTAATTAGAAATTAGAGATGAAAATTATATTTATGAGGGTCAATTTGAAAAAAGGAAAAAATGTATAATAAGGTAAAAAGATAATAATGCAAAAAAAAGAGAAAAAAGAGAAAAAAGAGAGAGAGAGTATGTGGGAAAAGGAAAATAAAGTAAAAGAAAAAAAGGGAAAAAATAAAGCCAACGGAACTTTCTTGCCAAACGTTTTGGTTATTAGGTAAGAAAAACTCATTTACTTTAAGTAAATGTAGTAAGATATGTGTGTATATATTATATATTTATTTTATAGTCTTTTCTATATATATGTACGATAAAATTTTATGTAATGGCCATACAAGCATTTAAAATTTAAAACTTAATTAAAAAGATACGTAAGAAGTCGATTATGGCCTTGCACATGTCTAGCACATTTTTAATCAATTATCGTCATGGAATTAACGACACATAGAATGGACAAAGTACATTTGGAAAACTTGATACTTATATGGTCACAAAACGACCTTTATTTAAAATGGACAAAGAAAGAAATATAAATAAGACAGACAATTTTATCACAATGCAACAAGCATTTCATCACCTTTTTAATGTAGAAGAAGGGACGGGATGCTTTGTTCGTACGTAAAGAAATTAGTTGGATCAACTATAGTCTTTACATAAATTAATCTGTAGAAATTGTTCTTAAAATACTTAGTACCCCAATTGCTTGCTGGTTTAAT